CCTCTTTCTGGTAGAGTGTCTTATTGTTTCTTCTTCACTTACATGGTCTTCAATTTCTTCTTCTTCTTCTTCAAGATCTGGTATAGAAATTCTTTGATTTTCATCAGACAATGATCTGGGTTCTTCTTTGTTCTTGTCTTCCTTTTTACTTGATCTGGATTCATGTACATGATCGGGAATCCAGTCTTCAATTGGTGTGCTCTCAAAGTTAAATCTTTCCTCATAAAACACAACATTTCTTCCAGTGATTATTTTTCCTTCTTTAGGACACCACAGTCGATAACCATTAGGACAATATCCAGTAAAGTAACATTTCAAGCACTTGCTGTCAAATTTACTTGATATTCATTCCTTAGGTAACAGCAAATATGCTGCACAGCCAAAAACTCTTAACTTACTAAGATTAGGCTTTTCATTGTACCATAAAACAGCAGGGATCTTTCCTCCTAAAGCTGATGTCGGACTTCGGTTGATTAGATATACGGCAGTTTGAACAGCTTCTGACCAAAATGTCTTACCTAATTCACAATTAAGTATTAAACAACGAGCCCTTTCAACAATAGTCCTGTTCATACGTTCTGAGACACCGTTCTGTTGAGGAGTATATCTGATTGTGAACTCATACTGAATTTCTTGCTCCTCAAAAAACTGCTTCAACTCATTTGACATGTATTGACGACCATTGTCACAACGAAATCTGCTAATCTTTAGATTGAAATGAGATGTAGCCAAAGCATGATACATCTTGACGTATCTTGTGACTTCCGCCTTCGATTCTAGAGCATAGGCCACCGTGAAATGAGTAAAGTCGTCAATAAAAGTGATGATATATTTCTTACCCTCAAATTAAACTGGTGAGATTGGACCACACAAATCACTGTGAATCAACTCAAGAGGTCTGGTGGCACGTCTCCTGTTCTGATTGTAAGGAAATTGTGATTGTTTCCCTTCAACACACTTTGAACACTTTTCTAAGGGTAATGTTGAAGTATTTAACTCCATCCCATCTACCTGTGACCTGAGACTTTTAATACAACCATAGCTCAAATGACCAAGCCTGTCATGCCACAGCTTCATTTCTGTTTCAGTTGAAGACACTGACAAAGCTTTGTGTTGCAAAAAATTTAACATATATAACTGAGAATTGTTTCTTTTTGCAACCGCAACAGTTTGATTATCTTTCTTAATCAAGCCACATGAATTTTGAAAGATAACACAAAAACCATTCATTTCCAATTTTCTTACTGAAAGTAAATTGTAACTAATTCCAGGTACAGATAAAACATCTTTGATTGTTATTTTAATTTCCTTCCCTTCCACAACACTAGTTACATACAATTCCCCTTTACATTTTGCTTCAAGATAAGTTCCAGACTTGGCTACTTCGATTTTAATAGGTTGTTCTAATTTCTTAAAGTTAGAGAGACATACCTCATTACTGTTAACCAGATGTTCTGTTGCTCCAGAGTCTAATATCCAATTTATGGTATCTGCTGAACAGTCTTCACTTGATGTTCCAAAACAAAATGCATCTTCCTGTTTGGTGTCGACCACGTTCGCAGAATTATTTTTCTTTGATGGGTTCTGTGGTAATTTGACTCTGCAGTTAGCTTGTTTGTGTCCAAACTTTCCGCATCTGTGACAAGTGAAATTGAACGAGTTGCCAGAAGTTCCTTGATTTCCTGGAAAATTTTTCTTTTTCCCTTGTTGAGACTGGAAGGCAGTAGGGTGTGATGTACAATCAAATTCAATTTTTCCAACGTCCCTCCTCTTTGTCTCCTCTTCCAGCAGTCTGACCTTCTAAAGCTTAGAGATAAGTCCTTCATTGATAGAGTCTCTATGGCCGTGACAATGACGTCATATTCTTTGGGCATGGTCAGTAGTAGATGACAAACAATGTCAGATTCCTCGACAGTTGCTCCTGTAGATCGTAACTCTCTTATGACTGTCAAATTTCAGAAAGTGACGATTTAAAACGTCATTCTTCGCATCAAACTTCATTGTTAGTAACTGCTTCCTTAGTAGAAGTTGGCTAGCTATTCCTTTCCTTTCAAATGTGTTGCAGAGAGATTGCCATAGTTCAAAAGCAGTTGCCTTGTCTTTTGCATATTCCAAATGGCTGTCGGCAATACGCTGTATAATCTGCGACTTGCACTTCCGATCTTGTTTCATATTAAAAAAGGTTCAAATACCTGTTATTAAGTAATCCAAATTTGTTGTTAGAACAACTAGTTTCGGTGTCTGTGTGACACCATCATCAGGCTGCACAAGGACAGTTTTCTTTCTTCATACGAAGAGCGTCATATTTACACGAAAAATAAATAAACATTTACACACGACACAAACACGAACACGAGACATTTATGGTAACTGATCAGTTAAGAAAACAGACGACGCTAACCCGGCGGAGTTTGAGTCCAGACTCTACAACTATTACAAGCGTTAATAAAAACAATATAAATGACTTTAACTATTAATTTCCATTGTTTTTATTTATTTTTATTTGCAAGTAAGTGCAGTTGTTGTGTTATTGGATCGTTTGAGTCCAGACTCAAACTCCGCCGGGTTAGCGTCGTCTGTTTTCTTAACTGATCAGTTACCATAAATGTCTCGTGTTCGTGTTTGTGTCGTCTGTAAATGTTTATTTATTTTTCGTGTAAATATGACGCTCTTCGTATGAAGAAAGAAAACTGTCCTTGTGCAGCCTGATGATGGTGTAACACAGACACCGAAACTAGTTGTTCTAACAACAAATTTGGATTGCTTAATAGCAGGTATTTGAACCTTTTTTAATATTATTTGGCAATCCGGAGGCTAACAACTACAATGAAGATCTTGTTTCGCTAATTCCAACAACCTTGCTTCCTTCCTCTCTCGTTGTTCATCTGTGTCTTTATCCAGAAATTCAACTTTGGTAACATAAGATTCCTTTACAAAAGATAATAATTCTAATTCCTCCAACAGAGTTTCAATTCTTAATTTCCAATTGCTGAAATTGGTTCCATCAAACAATGGTAGGCCTATTCGATACTTTTCATGTTCAGTTGCCATATTAATTCAATTTGATTAGCCAGGTAAAAAAATATTAACAAATTCCGTATTTAAACAGCCCTGGGCCCCATAACCTGTAAATATGTGGTTTCACTGGACACTAAATTAAAATACCTAGCTCAATTAAATAAAAGGGCAAACTGAATTATTAAACTCAACACTTTTAATTCAACCAACTAAAGAAGACAGATTTGACTATTATTGTTTTTAACAACACATTTAACAATTTAACCATCTGGTATTCATCAATGAAGTATAACATTAAAAACAGACATGTGGCAAATATTAAATTGCACTCAACACACATGTAAACATTGTAAAAGTTCTCATTGCAGCCATGGAGACCAATTAATATTAGTTTTAAAAACCTCACCTCAGAATTTTTTTAAAGCCAAGGGTTTAAAGCCCACGGTCAATATCGAAGTGTGAATAGTCCTATTACCTACCATCCTTGTTATAATAGCTATAATTTTGTAAAATGTAAGCCTATTCAGTTAAGTAGTTTTTACATTAATTAATTATAGTTACAGACATACATTCGGACACCATTAGATTTGTATACAGTATAATAGTATAGATTAGTTTTAAAATAACTTTTGTCCTATTACCTACCATCCTTGTTATAATAGCTATAATTTTGTAAAATGTAAGCCTATTCAGTTAAGTAGTTTTTACATTAATTAATTATAGTAACATACATACATTCGGACACCATTAGATTTGTATGCAGTATAATAGTATAGATTAGTTTTAAAATAACTTTTGTCCTATTACCTACCATCCTTGTTATAATAGCTATAATTTTGTAAAATGTAAGCCTATTCAGTTAAGTAGTTTTTACATTAATTAATTATAGTAACAGACATACATTCGGACACCATTAGATTTGTATACAGTATAATAGTATAGATTAGTTTTAAAATAACTTTTGTAATACCGGTACTTGCCAATTGCTCGATTTCAAGCAACAGGTGCACTAGTGTATTTAAAGCCAATGATCAATGAGGACTGGACCTAATTTGAATGTAAAATATAACTTTTCTCAGCATCAAACCGGCAACCATTTTATTGATAGGCGAGCCCTACAAGCCACTAATTACATCACAAGTGCGGTATGTGACATACACATATTTTTAAGGGAGTGTAGGAGTTTTGCCAACGGGTATCAAGTAGAAAGGGTCCCCATCCGTGAATTCCTCATACTGCGGAGTTTTGCCATCGGTTGTGGGTTGCGCGAGAGGGGGAGGGAGAGAGAAAGAGAGAGAGATTACACGTGACCGTGAGGGTGGCTTCCGCCAGGGATGGACAAACCAGGCAGGATGCTGACTGTGTTCAGTATTGCAGTTAAGCACTTCTGATTGTGAAAGGAAATGTATTGAATTTGTAACCTAACCTAACCTAACCTAACCTAACCCACTGCGACAAGCGCATAACTGCCAAGCGTAGACAACCCTGACAATCGCTCTCCCTCCCTCCCTCACACTCTTTCTCCCACCACCACCGTTGGCAAATCTCCGCACCAAGAGGTGGCCGAAGGCATCCCCCCATCTACCTGACACCCGTTGGCAAAACTCCGGTTCCCTTTTTAAGGCTGTAGAAAAGAAGGATTTTGATTGGGTTCTTGTATTTGATACTAGGGTGTGGCCACATAATTGCCATTGTTGGAATCTATAGATCACTTTCATAATTGTTCAGTTGTACAGTGTAATACTCATGTTTGAATAAAGTTTTGTAAAACACACTCATTGAACTTTTGCATTTAATTTGACAACTTACTTCTGGGGATCAATGACCTAACTTAATGATTACAAAAAATAGCTGTTGTCGAATGCAACAGAATGGCAAAACATAAAAGTGGCCAGCGGTTGAGACTGCTATATACAGTGGGGTTACTACTTTACCCCACCGGCTACAAGCAGTGAGGCTGAGACGCAGGTGACGCCACAGAAGGCCTAGTACCAGCACCACTGTCACTGAGCCAGTGAGCCAGTGCCTGTGCGATCGTCGCCGCTGCAGTAGCAGTGACAGCCGGGATGCTGCGCTCGCTCGTGGTTGCGGTGTTCGTCAGCTCTCTCTCAGTCATCGCATTTTCCGAGAACTATGATATGGACGACAATGTCGAAGATGCTGTTAGGGTGAGTTTCTGGCCAATTCAAACCTTGTATTTTTTACCAAGGATGTAACTAAAATCAATTATAGGCTATAGGTATATTATAAATAATTGAAGGGAGGTGGCAAAAACAGCTTATTTTTCATTATAAGTTAAATAAACGATTTTTATATTCAGTGTAAGATTGAATCTTATTGGAATCTTACGGGAACATGGGTCAACAGTTGGATACTAATATACAATGAAGGCTCTAAGGACCGAATTTTTTTGTTTCTATGACTTGAAATGCACACATGAAAATAACATAAATTAATTTTACTCCTTACTAAATTACTATTATTAAATAATAATTTATAAAAACAAAAAATAACACCATCATATCGATTTTATACATATAGAAAGAGATCCACTGAAGGAGCAATTTGAACGGATTTTAATTTCAAATGTTGCATCTTCCTCTTCATCCATAAACAGCAATTAAAATTTACTCTATCCACTGATGGATTGTAACGACTAAAGTTTAATCTAAACTTCCCACTACATGAAATAAGTACCTTACCTTTTATGGCTCAAGTAGCTAACTCAACCCATTTCTGTGAGACTAATCGGAAAACGTAAAGAAAATTTCTTAACACTTAATGTATCTTTGCAGTTAAAAGTTTATTAGGACGAGTTAAACAAGTCAACGTTTGAACTATATTTGTTTTGTTTGGAGCACGGAGCCGTCCATCAATGAGCGATAGTTGTTCCAAGGTATTTACCACCCGCCTCTTGCATTTCGAGCCTACTTCAAAGTGACACTCTACAACTATGAATCACCACATTTTCCTTCCCTCGTTAGTCTCGAATTTGCCAACATTTCGTTTCCTTTGACAGTTCCCGTACCTAGGATAGTCAAATCACCTATTCGCCTACTATAAAATTTATACTTTATACATTTAATGAAGTACATTTAAAAAAGTCATTTTTAGTATACAAAACCTTAGAGGCATACCTACTAATTTGTTTTTGAAATTAATATACCTTTAAATGAATTAATATTCGTTTGCTATTTAATTACAACTAAGTAGTACTCTATAATATACAATACATAGGCATAAACAATTAATGTTTGCGTAATCTGGTGCAAACTGTGGCAAATCCTACCCATGTCTAGAAACTTTGGCTAATTCGACTGCTGTTTGGCACATCCTACGAAACACAAAACTATCACCATGCGATGCCTGAGGTAAGAGAATTGCCGGGATTCTAAGAATGCAATACACTAATATTATACTCGATGTCTCGACCAAAACTGAAACCAACTACTACATTCATGAACCGTAACTTAAAAGTAGTATACTACTTATTAAGTAAGGGATGTATTCAAGAATCTGGTTGTTTTTACATAGATTCAGTCACATTCCATTAAATCAGTACCGGTACTTGGGTAATTCAATTAAAGTTGTTTTATGTAAAATTAGTAATGCAAGTACTGTATGCAAGTTGCAATTGAATCAGTTACGTTGGCTTAAATCTTTGGTGTGCTATTATTTTTGACGCGCTAGTGCTAGTGTAATCTGATATGTGATTTAGGTTGTTCATAAAACAGAACTTCATAATGTGGGATAGGTTACTTGAGGTAGTAGAATAGTGTTTAGATTGATGCCTACAAACAAAAGATATACATATACGTTACACTTGTCAAGCAACCCGATTGTAAACATAAGATATTCAGCTTAATCCGTCTTTTAGCAACCACCAAAAGCCCGAAAATTCATAATTTTTTTATCGAAACTTGCAGTATTTATTCCCAACAACAATTTACATTGGAACCCTAATAGGCCTACATGGTGTATCTAGGGATGGACGGGATTGAATTTTTAGTTCGGGACGGGACGGGACGGGATTTTTATTTCCTTCCCGATTTTCGGGACGGGACGGGACGGGATTTTTTTCTGTGCATAAAAAGAAAGTACTGTATTGCAGTTACCAAAAGAGACATACGAAATCAATTTTTACCATTTGTGGCACTGATCTATAAAAACCAAAAAATGGGTAACCTATAGAAACTTGTGACTCGCGGGTCACGGGGTGATCGTCTGTATGACTCACGGTCACGGCGCGATCGTCGTCATGACTCGCGGTCACGGCGCGATCGTCGGTATGACTCGCGGTCACGGCACGATCGTCGGTATGACTCGCGGTCACGGCGCGATCGTTGGTATGACTCCGCGGTCACGGGGTTATCGTCGGTATGACTCCACGGTCACAGCGCGATCGTCGTCATGACTCGCGGTCACGGTACGATCGTCGGTATGACTTGCGGTCACGGCACGATCGTCGTCATGACTCGCGGTCACGGCGAGATCGTCGTCATGACTCGCGGTCACGGCGTAATCGTCGACATGACTTCGTCTCCTGCGTTCGCGGACCTGTCGCTCGCAATAACGGCGTTATCGGCACTCGCGAAGCGGAAAAATCGCCGACGATCGGACCAAATCCCGTCCCGAAAAATTCCCGAGTCAAATGTAATCCCGTCCCGATAATCGGGAATATTTTTTTCCCGAAAAATTCCCGAAATTTCGGGACCCGTCCATCCCTAGTATACGATACAAAAGTTGGTTACAGTTTGTGTAGTGATTCTAGCCAGGTTTCGTTGTCATACAATAAAGTAGGTCTGATTAATACAACCGATCTAATGTTAGTGTTTCTTTGCTCCTAGTTATTTATTTGTAGCAGATTTACACCCTGACGTCTGTGAAGTATCTCGCTATCCGATGTTTCGCAAGTCAACCTGGCGATCGTCATAGCTCTGACTGCGGAACCAGCCTGCAACCGCTGCACCACAGCTATTGTTGTGTTGCTTGCACTATAAGCCTACTCAGTGGTTCAAGGAATTGAACAATAATTTAATCAGAGCTTATTCATGCTTACTTTCTCAATCTCCCAAACATTTTAGTAGCATCAGCACACAATACGATTAACTCAACTACTGTAACTTACTGGTTTACCTACACTGATAAGAGCAAATCGCGATGATTTATATCTTGCTAGGATTTCTGGCTTATCTTAAACACAAACTTTTCTTTTTTCATTCTAAACGTACAACGTATAGACTGTTACGATTGTTGAAATGCCATCCTAATTATATAATAAGTGATAAAGTTTGGATGTCTCGATGTTTGTGACAAGTAAACGCGAAAAATACTGGTCGGATTGGGCTGAAATTTGGTATGATGATAGCTCACATTCCCGATTAACATATAGACACACTCTTATCTGAAAAATCCTTTCGGGGACCCCAGTGGCTCTGGAGTTTCTCATGTTAATCTTATGAGTATTCATATTTAAAAAGGATAAAAACATTTCAGCTTTTTCAACTGCACAAGTTGGATTCCGCTATTAACGTATTTCCCATATAGGGAATAAGCTATTGCCGTAGATCTCATGGTTAGACCTGGACCCGGGACCGATTTAATTTTTCGTTTTGAAGACCCCAGAGGCCAAAAACACCATCCGTTCAAATTCATATACAGTATATATATATATATCCGTTGGTCCGTTGGCACGATAACTCGAGTAAAAAATGATCCGATCTTGATGAAATTTGGTATAAACGTGCAAAAATTTATTCAAACGAGTTCGCGAACCAGCATAATCGGACCATGGGAACGGGGGTTTATGGGGTGAAAAATTTCAATTTCTTTCCCAACCATTTTGTAGAGCTTAAAAAAGAACAATTTAGTATATTAAAGCACTGTTGTATGCCTAACGGTTACGGAGAAAATAAAAAAAGGTGTAATTTAAAATTCACATGTTATTCATATGGAGAAAATGTAAACTGTTGTAGTTTTCTTTTTTATGGATATATGTTGATACAATTTGGCAAATTTATTGATTTCATCCTATGCTATTGACGTATGGTCAAAAACACTTTTTACCTTCCCCCGTAGCAGCAAACCTAAGCACTCGTTTAATCTAATGTTATTTAAATTGGGAGAAAATATGTCTTATTTGAAAGAATTATGAAAATATTTTAGTAAAAATGTAATCAGACAAGTTGAAATTCGGTTAGTCTGCAGGTTTGCTGCGGCGGGGGTATTTTATTGTTTAGGGGCAATGGTAGAACATTATGTCTATGGTATTTACTTTCCGTGTCCGGAAATCAGACTTCGCTTTTCCAAAAAATAGCTACCGATATGGCTTTGTCATTCGCTTGTAAAAGATCATCTAATGTGCAAGACTGGTCGAGGCGTGGACAGATCAGCAGATGGCCAGGATCCTGAACAGCACCAAAGGCACACAAGATGTTTTCTTCGTCTGGTAAGAGATCCCATTTCTGCATGTTTGTCTTGCATTTTGGTACCTCGACCCTGATTCGATTTAGGGTCTTCCACGCCGTGTAATGAAGGCCTCCACCAGGAGCCAGTTCCTCCCTGACTGGTATGGGAGGGTTAGTCAACGTGGCCTCCCACCTTGCCACTCGATTGCTTGAGAGTGATCCATCCAGGACTCGAGTCCGTGATAAAAAGCTCTTTCTGGACCGAAGCCGTCGCTCTGCAGGTTGGTGGCCGTGTAATAGGTGACGAGGGTCTGTCTCTTGCTTAGTCCTTTCTGCGTCGGCAGCGACATTACGTCGGATTGATGGAGGGGCGATCCCTACGATAGGATAGAGTGTACTGGGGTTGGTTTCAAACACCCAGTTACATTCCGAGCCATGTCATTGACTGCAATGTCAACCTTTTTTGCATGTGACGATGCATTCCATACTGGTGCAGCGTACTCCACAGCCGACACACTGAGCGCTAAAGCTAAGGTTCTGAGGACATTAGGGTTAGCACCCCAGCATCTGTTGGTGAGCTTCCTGATGATATTATTCCTCGCTGAGACTTTACCTCTTGTCGCAATACAATGCGCCTTAAATGTCAGTGTGCGGTCCAGTTGGGTGTAGGACAATGCTGAAGACTTCGAAAAATGACTATGGTAGATGTGCTATACTATAGCATACCGTAAACTAAAAGAACAAAATTTTCTTAAACCATG